ATCAAATTAATTTTAAATTTCATCTCTTATTTTCAACTACACAATCTTCAATAAACCAATATTATACGTAAATCGATAACTTTTCATTCTTTTACAATCATTCATTTTTCAAAACAACATGATTCCCCCCATTATAATAAAAAATAATGGGGGCCAAACAGGGGCTAAGTCTAATAATCGTTATATCATAATTGGGGCATAGATGTCGGGTCGTTAGGCATTTGCTCCTTGGGAGTACGCTAAAAGTAGCAACCTAAGTAATAGAACAAGTTGTGCGTCGGAGCCTTTGATTGATTGTTTGATATTAGTTGGTAAGTTTAATTGACCTGAGAAAACACCTCGGTGGAGCCATCTTCCACAACATTACTTTTTCAACGAAGCATACAATGAATATCTTTTTGTACCCTATAGAGATAGAAAGAAAAATGAATGAATTAAAAGCTAGAAATAAAACTCAATATTAAATAAACAATAGTCACAAGCACTGACGCTAGAAATTTGTTGCGCGATTTATTTCGCAAGTACATGATATTATAAACAACTAATAAAGTGAATTTAAAAGCTCTGATTAATGTTCTCACAAGGACTATTTATCTAAATATTGGTTAAAATTTTTCCAACTTCTATTATAATAAAAATAATGAAGATTGATTTCAATAGTTATCCTAAATACTTTAAATCTAAGAAAACAATTAAAACATGTGCAAGTAGCAGATATGGTTTTTGCATTATATGTGAGACGTATTAGGATTCACGATTTCAAAGTAGTTATTCCCATTAATTTGCCTCTCAAGCTCATTCTTAAAATTGTATTCGTTCAAATTAACTAATTTAACCAAATCAATCCTATTTAGTCGTGTCAATTCACTATATCTCTATGTGAATTAGAATAAATCCTTAGTAAATGCATTAAATCACCTAGTAAATCAATTTATGACTACAACATATTATAAAAGTGTATCTCAACCTTTTATTCAATTTTCAAATTTTACTACGCGGCCTAAATCTATAACTTACCTCTTGGTTCTTTACATCTTCACAATTAAATAAAATAGCGTCAATAATTTCAAAAACAATAAGAAATTGAAGTAAAAGAAAACAATAAAGAATTCTACTAAAAAATCTTGATAATTGAAAGTAAAGGTTCACATTTAGGTTAAATTTTTCGTCCCAAAAATTAGATTAGTCAAACATTATTTGGGAAGAAAAATACATGAAACGAAATGAGTAGATCACCAAATTTTTGAGTAATAGTGAAGAAAAATGGATCATTTTTGCACCAAGAATCCTCCTCGAAGTCAAGAACTTCAAAAGCACTAATTTCTTGATTTTTTTCTCTTGACGTTTCTTACTATTTTTTTTTATTTTTTTGATATTTTCTATGGCGTCACTCAATTTTTATGACCTAAACGAGGTCAATTTATAGTATTAGAAGAATTTTGAATGTCGTGTTTCGAAAAACGAATCAAGCAGGAATAAAACCACTTAGCCAAGCTTAAAAACAGGGGAATGAAGAGATAGACTGATGTGCAAAAAATGATTGGATGTTTTTGTTTAAAATTTTTAAACTGTTCAATCATGCGTCGACATATGTCATATCTGAATTTAGATCTGAACTTGTAGCATGGTTGATCGAGAAAACTCAGAAAATGCAAAGAACAACATAGTATAGCTAGCACTACATCTTGGCCAACGTTAGAAAACCGAGACATGGACTGTGGCAAACAGTCCAAACAGTTGGACCACGGTTTGCCTTGTCTTTTTAAAAAAATTCAGACATTTTCAATTTGGTCCTCAACTCTAGTTTTTCGAGCGGGCTTTGTCAGTTATTCACGTTTTTGTTCAAATTTTGTCATCTTTCATCCTAAACTTTAAATTTTGATGCTGAAACTTCCAAAATCTTCCAGATTGGTCTTTGAAATTTCATAATCACTTGAAATGTGTCCATATTTAAGTTTCGAAAAGTGTACAATTTAGCCCATAAAACTTTTCAAAAGTTGAATTTCGCCCTAAACTTGAAATTTTCTTTTAATAGCTCTCTTTTTACTTATCATCTCTCCGTGGCATCTGATTAGACTTTAATTGACTCGAACCAACTCCAAACTAACTGGAATCGCCTTTTTGGCTATAAATGCATCGACCCCATGTTTTTCTTACAATTTAAAATAATCATACTAAATTAGAAAGAAATCTGTTTAATTAACCATAATTTATCAGGTTTTAAGCACGAATAAGTGGGTGTAAAAACCCTACAAAAGCCACATTCGTATTCAATTTAAGACACTTGGCACAATCCATCTCACCTCCACGTTCTCACCCATAGGCCCGTGGCCTCCCTCTCAACTCTCATCTTTTCCATCTCAATGGCAAGCCCCACATAGATTCGGGCATCAGACCATGCATGAGCCTATTGCATTCTCGCATAGAACCCACATCAAACAACATAATTTATCTCTTACTTTCTTTGGTACAATTAATGTTCTAAAAAGGCGTAACGCGTAATGTTGCGTAGAGGTCAAGTAATGGGCTAGATTAGCTTAGACGAGACACAGGCGTAAAAAAAGTATTTTCTTATTTTATTTTTTAACCAATAAAAAAAAATTAAAAATAATACTTACCAAACATCTAAAGCAAATTTATAGGAAATTTATACATTTTTTCAAAATTTTCAATGAAAAGATAAGTTCCAAATGTAAATAGTAAATAAATAGAAATTCTTGAGAGATTCATTTGTTTAAGGTTTTAAGAGACTATTTTGAATTTACGACCAACTAAGTGATGAAATCAACATTTACGTTTTAATTTAGAAGAATTCTTTAAAAAAAAAAATTTAAATTAAAAATTTTTAAAAAGAAAGATAATTATGCATGTGCACTTAGGCGCACATTAGTGGTCAACAGTTGTTGTTGACTGCTATATATGGTGCTAAGCCGCTTGGATTCTGTCGAGGCATAGTCAATGCGTGTCTTTTAAAACAGTTGGTACAACAAATCGAATGTTGTTGGAAGATTATAAAAAACTGAAAATCAAAAATTTATTTAACACGTTTAATTTTATTCATTACTGCCACATGTCAAACGTTCTCAAACAATCTCAAATGTTCAAGTTCTCATAGGATTACACCCAAATGCAGCTTGAAAGTGCTATAGACGTTTTCTATAACTTCTTAATGTGACATTATAAGAGTGGGAATTGACGTGTAACCCACCAATATTATATATACACGAGCATGCAAGACCGAAAGTTTTCAACATATTTGTAGTATATTATTTGCTCATTATATTTTTGGTAGCAGCTGAGAAGCCACGAGTCCAACTTGAATTAATTGAGCTTTAGATCTCACATATTCCATCTAATCTACTTTAATTATTCAAAATAGTCCATTATATGTAAAGATTGAAGAATCATGACACTAAAACGACAAAGATATTCTCAAATATGCCCCTTATGGGATGCTTAAATTGGTGGAGTAGGTGAACGTAAAGACCTTTGATCACGAGTTCAATTCCTCATACCAACACTTTCTCGATCGAGCTTGTTGCACGAGATTTGTATAGTGCGGTTTACCTGACTGGCATTATTTACAGACTATTACATCAGTCCGAAGATTTACCTATTGTGCACCCAAAAGGTAACGACTGTGAATTTCCCGATCATAAAAAAGAAGAAGATATTCTCGAATATTATACCAAATATTCTGTTCCATTATTCACGAACCAGACAGCAATTCCTCTGCACAAGAGGAAGTGCTGTCTACAATATTCTTTCAATTTGACTACTTTTTAAATTTTTGGTATAAAAATATGTGACGAAGTACAAACTCAATCCATTCACAATTATGCTTGGTGCACAATTCATTTTATAATATTGTTGACAATATGACACGTGACATGTTATCATTGAACCGTTTAAAAAATAATTTATCTTTTCAATCAATACTTTTTTAACATACACAATATTGTCAACAATATTCTCAAAATACATTGTACAAATGGCATTATCCATTAAAAAATCAATTTACGCGTTTCTACAAATTCAAGCTAAATTAATTATACTCGAACGGTGATATCAGTTTTTATCTTTATATTTTTGGCCTAAGGTTTTATGTCCCCTACGTATATCTGGATTGGAAATTCGGTATTTCCACTTACCATTTCTCGTTAATAAAAAAAAATTAGTACGAAAGAGGAGAAACGTGCATCGCTATTCGTTTAAAATCTAAATTAATTATTAAGATTTTTTTATCAGGCCAACGTTAAAAATTAATCAAAACAACACATTCATAAGCATTACCCATTTATTATTCACACATTTTGTGAAACCAATTACTATTTCTTTTTAAAAAGTTAATATTAAGTTTAGACTAACATAAGCTAAGATCAACCCAAATCAACAAGTCCTTGTTCGATGGAAACAATAATATATTGACAGCTCTATACACCAGAAGTGAAAGACTGTTTGGGAGTGATTTTGAGAATTGATTTTTTGACCGTTAGGAGAAAAGTGGGGTCCACCTGTGAGAAAAAAAGTCAAATATGACGACACGAATAGTAAAATAACGATAAAAAAATTAATTTTTTGAAGAAAAAAGTCGTTCCCAAACAGACCCTAAAAAAATAGAAATTTATTGATTAGTACTTATTAAACTTATTTGTAGATATATGAGTATTGTAATCATAAATTGCCGATAGCTATTCAAATCACTTTTTATTCAAAATTTTTTAAAAATTCATAACTATTATTTATTTATCCATCATAGAATTTTATTTAATTACATTTTCAACTGTATAATGTAAAATTTAAATTGTCAATACATATATTCATTTAAAAATTGCGTAGTAAATAGCATACCATAAATGGTCCCATACTCCAAAAGATCCCGACCATCGGATCTCAAATCTAACGGCTGAAACACCACCAATACACAACCGCCCTAGACGCCACCACGTATAAACTGTACTCACGTACCAGCGTGAGCTTGTTTCTTGATTTTTTCTTCTTGGACAAGGAGTTGTCCAATCAGGGGGCAATGTGGCGCTCCCCTATTGTTTGGAGAACTCCGTCTCGAAGTAACATTCCTTTTCTATCTTTTGAATTTATTCAGTTCTAAATAGACTCAAATCCATTATCAGAATTGCAAGCATTTGGTGCACCTAAAACTAGTTTCCCCGAGAAACTCTCGTCTGTTGGCTACTGGGTTCATCTTCGAGGTCCGAGAATTTAGTAAACTTATGGAATCCATGCTTTTAGATTCATGGGTTTGTTGTTTATAGTGTTGTCCTAACTTGAAATGTGTTAATGAATGGATCCGAGTTTTTGATTGATTGAATTGTGTGGGGATTATGGTCATGTTTCCATGAACTCTGTATTGTAAGAATAATAATTGTTTGAAGTTTTCTTTTGACAGAATCTATGTTGAATTAGTGTTAATGCTTTTCTATTTTCATTTAAATTCATTCTGCTTTTAGATCTTTGTCTTGCAAGGAACCAGTTATATAGCTTAATTTGATGTGGGTATTCAGACATTCAATTTGAGTAGAAGGGATTGAAAGAGGGAGGGATAGACCAAAAGAATTACGATCCTTCTGGGTTATCGGGGATCTAGTTGCTTTGAGTCTTCTAGTAGATCTAGTAATGCTTCAAAAGGAGTGTTGAAAACCTATTCAAGTAGTGGACGTCTAATTTAATGGGAATAAGACTTCGTTGTTTTTGTAATCTGGGATCAACTTCACGAAATTAGAAGAAAAATTGATTGGGAATAAGGTTCATTTTGTTGTTGTCTCTAATTATTTCGTTATGGATTTTAAGAAAGATCAAAATCTGAACTTTAAGCTTCCAAATTAAACAATTTGGTGGATGGTGATTGTTGGTGACTTCATCAGAGTTCAATTTACATGATGTCTATGTGACGTTCCTTTTATTGTTTAGTAGTGTCAAATATTGCTGCTATAAATACTTATGATCATTTCTTGATTTACAGTCTTGCTGTTCAGAATGTATTTAAGTATTTAAATCAGTTTTCCCATTAGTGTCTGCAGAAGAACTTGTTGAGTGGATCATGACCTTTTCAGAAATTATCAATTGCTCTACCTGGGCATATAGTCTGTGTTCCGCTTGTAAGAGAAGTGCACATTTGGGCTAATTCAAAATGCAAAAGTTACTAGGTTTATAGTGACTGATAGAAAGTTTGATTTTATAATGCATGTTATATTTTCCGTACATGACGGGGTTGAATTATAATTATGAACTTATACTTTTTAAATGTAATTTAACTTGTGCAGGTTGAAAACATGGACACCTTCCTATTCACCTCTGAATCTGTGAACGAGGGCCACCCTGACAAGCTTTGTGATCAGATATCAGACGCAGTACTTGATGCCTGCCTTGAACAGGATCCCGATAGCAAAGTTGCCTGCGAAACTTGTACAAAAACGAACATGGTAATGATATTTGGTGAGATCACAACCAAGGGCAATATCGACTATGAGAAGATTGTGCGTGACACCTGCCGTAACATAGGATTTACTTCAGATAATGTTGGTCTTGATGCGGACAAGTGCAAGGTCTTAGTTAACATTGAGCAGCAGGACCCTGATATTGCTCAAGTTGTCCACGGCCACCTAACCAAGCGTCCAGAGGAGATTGGTGCGGGTGATCAGGGTCACATGTTTGGCTATGCCACAGATGAGACCCCTGAGCTCATGCCTCTCAGCCATGTGCTTGCTACTAAACTAGGTGCCCGCCTCACTGAAGTCCGCAAGAATGGTACATGTCCGTGGTTGAGACCTGATGGAAAGACCCAAGTTACAGTCGAGTACTACAATGACAATGGTGCGATGGTTCCTGTTAGGATCCACACTGTTCTCATCTCGACTCAGCATGACGAAACTGTTACTAATGATGAGATTGCTAAGGATCTTAAGGAGCACGTCATCAAACCTGTCATCCCTGGGAAGTACCTTGATGAAAAGACAACCTTCCACCTCAACCCATCTGGTAGGTTCGTTATTGGTGGGCCACATGGTGATGCTGGTCTCACAGGTCGCAAAATTATTATTGACACCTATGGTGGGTGGGGTGCCCATGGCGGGGGTGCTTTCTCTGGAAAGGACCCAACTAAGGTCGACAGAAGTGGGGCCTACATCGTTAGGCAGGCTGCCAAGAGCATTGTTGCCAGTGGCCTTGCCCGCAGATGCATAGTGCAGGTCTCATATGCCATTGGTTTACCTGATCCATTATCTGTGTTTGTTGACACTTACGGCACTGGTAGCATACCAGACAAGGACATCTTGAAGATTGTGAAGGAAATTTTCGATTTCAGACCCGGAATGATTTCCGCTAACTTGGATTTGAAGAGGGGTGGCAATGGAAGGTTCTTGAAAACCGCTACACATGGTCACTTCGGACGAGATGACCCCGACTTCACATGGGAGGTAACTAAGCTCCTCAAATGAGAGAAGCCCCAAAACTAGTTATGCTATACAATCCTTGCAATGTGTTGAATCATGTGATCATTCCAAATTGATGGTCTGTGGCCAAGTCTTATTTGTTGTCCTGCTTTTTCCCTTCTATTTTTCTCCCTTTTTTAACCCTTAGTTTGTCTTGAGCCTGCCTTGTAAGAGATGCGGATGTATTCATAAAATTTCTCTATAGTTGATGTTTGGAAACCTTTAAATATAGTTTTGTTCATAGCTGTTCTATTTGGTTCACTCTGTTAATTTGATTGTTCCATACATTTCAATTCAAAGTTTTGTATGGAAATTTTAGAAACTAGGCTACATAGCGGACCGATTCAAAGTCATTCACCACTTCATAAACATGAAAAACATTGAATTTATTAACATTGGTTTAGGATTCATTTGTTAATCTACGTGCACCTCTTGCCTCATATTATATGTGATGTGATTTTTTGTTGGGTTGGGTTTGGGGGGAGGGGGGGTTTCAAATATTATTAAGAAGCTTAAGGACTCAGCGCCTGTTGATAAGGAGTTGAGACCTAGAATCGAGCCAATTTAAAGACCTTGAAGAGCCAATTAAGTTGTCCAATTACTTGATTGAGCTATAGAGTACAAAATGTTGAAGTTGACAAGCCAAATAACAACTTATATTTTGGTCATGAAGGCGAAATTATGCTTGATGCGTTGGATTCAAAGTTTTGGAAGATATAGGGATAAACGAGCAGCGTGGATTAAAATAGGCATAACTTTTAGCTCGAGTATCGAATTCTCATCCAAGAGTACAATTCGAAATCGTAAAGAAAATTCTGCACAAGGAGAAGGAGAGCATAGCTTAAAAGCCATGTGATCGCATGGTGGCGTGCAGAGAGAAATCGGAGGCTGATGAAATGTTCCATGTGACGGCATGGAAATATAACATGCGGTTGCATCGTATAGTTTAGGGAGAAAAGTTTTCTTTTTCGTGCGAGAGTTTTATTGAGCCTAGAATTCTTATGTTTTGGTAACTTTTCATATTTTGAGTGTTTTATTTTGTTTTTAATTAGTTTCAGGGTTAGTATAAATAGGTTTCTTATCTTCTCATTGTAACAATCAAGACTTTTATGATGAATTGAATTGAGAATTTTCTCTCGAGGCTTTATGCTTCAAACTTTTTGTTTTTTTGGACAAATTGAGCATATCAGGAAATTGAGTTTCTTGTGACGTTCACAAATCCATGTGATATTTATAAATCGTATAATTAAGAGGTCCGTAATTTATTCAATTATTGGTTGCTTGATTCATCTTTTGTGGGTAAAATTCAAAACCTTGCTTATTGGCGTTCTTGAGATCGGATTTCAATCTAGTTGTAGGTTTCGTAGTCACCGTTGCTATGGGGATTCACATCAATATCATTACAACAAAATAACAATTTATTGAGCTCTAATCTATCCATGATCAAGAAAATATTGCTAATGATAGCTACTAGCGAATACATTTGATACTCTTTACTAATTATTTCTATGAGTATCATAACCATTGCCTTGTGCTCGACATTCCATTGCACTCATGGATATTGCAGCTTCCAACAAATTCATGAAATAACATACTTGGAACCCATTTTCAAAAGTTAAACAAATAGGTACAGAGTTGAAATTGAGTGTTATAATTTGGACCAGATCTGAAATCACTTTGTTGAAAGTAAAATTAGGGGTGGACAAAATGTCCAAACCAGACCAAATCAAACCAGAATCGAACCCAACCAAACGGTTCGGTTCGGTTCTATAAAAAAAATTAATGATTTTGATTTTGTGAACCGAGAACCATTTGGTTTTAATTTTGGTTTAGCTCTAGTTCAAAAACCAAAACTAGAACCAAACTTAATATTTAATTTTATATATAATAATTAGGGGAGACTCTAATTTTATATTTCTTGAAGATAGCCTACTAATTGAATACAGTTTATTAATCAATTTTGGATCATTAGAGATAAACAACTCATTAGTTGTCTACACTCTATTTTTGTATGCAGTTGAATTATTTCTCTTCCACTCCTTTTCAAACTACATAATGTCGTAGCATACTGGTACCGTATTTTCATCAAGATAGTGGAGTGTCATTTAAGATCGAAAAATGAAAGTAGTCAATTACTTAAAAAGTCTCTAAACTCTTTTTTTTACCTTGATTGTTCGATGAGTTATTTGTGTTCTTCACAAATAGAGGAAAACATAATAAACATTCATGAAATATTAAACGGTTAATGTTGCCTGTAGAAGTGGACTATAAAAATTTTGATAATTCATCCTTTATTGTAGGGGTGTGCCTTCAAAACTGCTGCAATTAATTTAGCGAATAATTGCTATTACTTATTAAACAATTTTTTGTATGAAAATGAAAACTGATTTGTGTATTCAAATTATGAATATATTTGATTTTTTAGTTATGACTTTTTTGATCTCGATGATTGAAATTTGAACTTCCTAAATGTTTGATGCTTATTTTCTTATTTAGGTATACATTACTAATTTATATGATATATATCTAAAAATTTAAGAAATGAAATTAGAACCAAACCAGAACCGAACGGTTCGGTTTAGTTTGGTTTCATATTTTTTAAAAAACCATTTGAATCCATAATAAAAAAAATTCATTGGTTCATGGTTCGGTTCGGTTCTCTTGGAACCAGAACTATATGGAACCATGTTCACCCTTAAGTAAAACAGCTCTAACATTACTTTGTTAAGAATTGGGACAAATAATTAAAGACGTGAAAATAAGATCAATATGAATAATAAATCACAAAGAAAACAAAATTTACGTAGAAATACAAAATAGAGAAAAACACGGGCAGAAACATAAAAATCACTATAATTTATAGTAAGGAGTTACAAATGATCTCTTTGGATCGATAACTAATTTGACAATTAATCCATATTAATATTTGTTGTACACAACATACTTATAACTGAAGAATCCTTAACATACTAGAAAAATTAATACATGATGAGTTTAATATAATGTGAAGTCCCATAACATTGGGTAAAAACAATAATGGAGAATTTGGGATGAAATAGGAGTCAAATTCACCTTGGACTCTTTCAAAACATTTTCAAGTTTACTACCAACTCCCAATACTCTTTCAATAATATTTCCAATCAAATACTCAACAAGATTAGGGTCACAACCCAATTCCAACATTGAGATTTAAATAAGGGTCATGCTATACGTACATAATTATCTACATAATCTTTTACCTACTACACACAACATGATGTGGGGACCACGGCTTGGATTATTTAATAAGGGGCGGGGCCCGCATGTTTGTGAGGGGGAGTCATGGTTCGGTAATCCCCCTCTCGGTACAAACATTTTAATCCTTTGAATAATATACGTGAGACGGTTGACATAGAAACCACACGAGCATATGTTCATAGAGACACAACTTACAAGGATATGTGGCGACTGGAGTACCGGGATAAACATCCCATTCACCTTCACTCTCTTTTCTGCATAGATCTAGAGCATACGATACGTGATTTCTTATGGTGTTCTCAAAACACGCACCGCATGAATTAATTCATCTACAGTTCAAACTTTTGCAAATAGCACATAAGCTAGCATTTGTGCTTCCATTGCTGATACTTTTGCTACATGCAATATATTCTCCTATATGTGCATAGCTTAATTCAAATGTTACTTTAATGACCATTTTCGACGACTACTTGTTTTTTAACAGCAAATTTATACACTTTTCAATTTATCAAATTAAAATTATTATAATATATAAATTTGATCGTCGAGCTTTTTACTTTTCAATTAATCAATTCATTATAATCAAATTATTTTCTACATATTCGAGTACAAGAGCAAAGTCATGGAGCAACAGAGCCCTGATATTGCTTTAGTTGTCCATGGCCACCTAACAAAATGCCCCAATGAGATTGGTGCAGGTGATCAGATCACATGTTTGGCGACACCAAAAATGAGACCCCATGTTCTCATGTCTCTCAACCATGTGCTTGCTAGTAAACTAGGTGCATGTGTAACGGAAGTCCACAAGAATGGAATGTGTCCGTGGTTGAAACCCGATGGAAAGACCCAAGTTACAATCGAGTACTACAATGACAATGGTGCAATAGTTCCTGTTAGGTTTCAACTATTCTCATCTCAACTCAGCATGAAGAAACTATTAGGGTCCGTTTTATTGCAAAGGTGAAATTTAGATGGAAAGAAAACAAATTTCAGGGAATTGAATTGATGGGAAATTGTTTTCCTGAGAATTATAAATTATCGTGTTTGATTGGTATAATCTTTTACGTGGAAAATGTTTGAATTAAAGTGTTTTTTTATGTCCGTTTGACTTTATTTTACATGAAAATTATCAATTAAAGGGATATAATTTATTGATATTGGGAATGAAATTTGTTTTCATTGCCAATATATATAACAGAAAATCATCTATCTTTGGGTGTTCGTTTGGCTTTGTTTTACATGGAAATTGTCAATTAAAAAAATATTTTTTTTTATAATAAATCTGAGAATTTGTTTTCATTACCAACACAAAAAAATAAAAAAATAAAAAAAATAAATAAACAAAATAAACAAAATGCTACAGTAACATTGAATTTCAATTCTCACCACTTTGGTGAGAATTGGTTTTCCTTAAAAACCAAGAAAATATCAATTCCCGAGACAAGCAAGAAAAGACAATTCCATGGAAATAAAACCCTATCAAACACCATAAAGTTGGAAAATGGAATTCTTCATGGAAAATTTTGGTGTATCTAACACACCCTTACTTATGATGAGATTGCTGTGGACCTTAAGGAGCATGTCATAACACTATAATCCCTAAGAAATAGTTCGACTAAAAGATAATCTTCCACTTAAACCCATTTAGTAAGTGTGTTATTGGAGAGTGTAACGCCCCGAACTCTTTTTCATTATTATTGTTATTTTTAAATAAAAATGAGCTCAAGGTGCTATCAAGATTTTTTTTTTTAATCTAATTTAAGCGGAAATATAACTTTTTATTTTAGTGATCAAAATGTGGTCGACAATTCAATAACGACAAAATAATGATTTAAAATAAAATCTTGAAATATCCTATTTCAAACTGTAAATTAAAATTCAACATAAAGTGTCGAATGCTCGTACTCTAAGAAAAATATTAAATACCATGCATAAAAATTAAAATAATGACATTCTTTTAAATAGAATTTGATGATTATTTTTCTAGAAACTTTACTTGATGACCTCATAAGCATCGCCGGTCAATCTTCCACTCGTCTACACGACCCGTTTTAATCTGAAAAGTATTGTAAGAGTGAGTATTTTGAAAACACTCAGTAAAAATATGTGCATATTCTTATAACATGATATAAACATAAGATGGCATAACATACCGACATGTCTTAACTTTAGAGCAAACTGGTCGCAATTCCAACAGCTCAAGGAATTTCTTAAGAATCCCCATATCCCGTAGGATTTAATCATATTGACCCAAAGGTCCATCCCGTAGGATTTAACTTCTTTTCTTTGACCTGACGGTCCATCCCGAAGGACTTAACATATAATTCAACCCGAAGGCCTTATAGTATTTCATGCCAAATTTACATAAATATCAAGGATAAGAATTTACCACTTACACCATATATTCTTACCTTGATTTCATAAACAATAAATCAGAAAATATGTTTGTAGAAAAATAATATATATATCAACTTAGAGAATGAGGTTTATGTTCTAAAAGAAAATTTTAACCTCTATATACATATATATAATTCACAAAAACGTGACTACAATAATTATTTTCAGTTTCTTTCTTCTTCTTCTTTTTTTTTTCTTTGATAATCAAATGACTTCTAAGATTCACCATTTAATTCCAAACGTATTTGTTTAAGAGTTTATGGGTTAATTATATCAATTAATACCAAAATTAAGGGACTTAATTATGTTTAAGTTATAACATCCTTTCCAAATCCAAGTAACCGTATTAAAATCTGTTTCATTCTATTATTTTATTATTATTTACATTTTATTTATTAATAAAATATAAAATCTAGAATACTTTATTTTTATTAACATAACTTGGGTATAAGTAGCCTAAAAATATTTCTTCTTGAGCCAATTTATGTTATTCAACACGAACTACATAACAAGTATAATATTGATATATTTTATAAATTTTCTATAATTTTTAAATAGTCGACCCTAGATAAAAGTTATAATAAATTTATATAACTAAGACAATAAATCGTTTTTTTTTTCTTTTTTTTTTTTGTGGCAACTAGATGGGTTAACTTATCATATTAACCTTTAGACCTTAATGTGACAACAATGTTAGACATGGGCTATCTCATTCGTAAAACGATCAATATTGATTTTTCTCCATATGAAAATATAATTAAAAGTCGGGGCATCACATCCTTTCCCCCTAAAAATAATTTCATCCTCGAAATTACCTTATTTAGCCGAAAAGCCCAGGATACTTGGCTTTTGTTTCTTCTTATTTCTCCCAAGTGGCCTCCTCGACTCCATGATTTTTTCATCAAACCTTAACCAATGCGACTTCTTTATTTCTTTATGCATGTACTTTCCTTTCGATTATCTCCAAAGGGGCCTCTTCGTAAGTTAAATCCTTCTATACTTTCAAAGATTCATAGCTTATCGCATGTTCGGGATCGTGCACATATTTTCTAAGTATTGATACGTGGAATACATTATGCATTGCCGATAGTCTGGGCGGCAACGCTAGGCGGTATGCTACATTTCCAATTCTGTCTAGAATTTTAAAAGGACCTATAAATCGAGGTCTCAACTTTCCCTTCTTGCCGAATCTAAGAACTCCTTTTATTGGTGCCACTTTTAGAAAGACTTTCTCACCGACTTCAAATTCTATTGACTTCCTTCATTGGTCTGCATAACTTTTCTGTCTATCTTGAGCAGACTTTATTCTATCTCTAATTTTATCAATTGTTTGCACTGTCTTTGAATTAATTTCTGGGCCCAAGATTTGTTTTTCTCCAACTTCATCTCAATGAATTGGTGATCTACATCTTCTACCATAGAGGGCTTCATAAGGAGCCATGTCGATAGTAGCTTGGAAATTGTTATTATATGCAAACTCCACTAATGATAGATGAGACTCCCAACTACCTCCCAAATCTAAGACACATTCTCGGAGCATATCTTCTAAAATTTGAATTGTCCTTTCCGACTGTCCATCAGATTGGGGGTGATATGTAGTGCTAAAATTTAACTTTGTCCCCATAGCTCTTTGCATGCTTTTCCAAAATTTAGAAGTAAACCTTGGATCTCGATCTGAGACGATGGAGGTTCCATGCAACCTAACAATTTCCTTAACATATAACTGAGCAAATTGATCCATACTGTATTTCATTCTTACTGGAAGAAAATGAGCTGATTTTGTCAATCGATCTACAATTACCCAAATGGGATTGTGTCCTTTCGTTGACTTTGGAAGACCAACGACAAAATCCATGGCTATCTGCTCCCATTTCCACTCTGGAATTTCTAATGGGTTCAATGGTTCTGATGATTTTTGATTTTCTGCTTTAACTTGCTAACATACAATATACTTCTCAACAAAGAGACCAATCCCCTTTTTCATATTCCTCCACCAGAATATGTCGCGAAGGTCCCGATACATTTTAGTACCGCCGGGATGTGCAGCATATGGGGCATAGTGTGCTTCCTCAAATATTTCTTTTCTTATCCCTTCATCTTTTGGTACACATAACCTTCCTTCAAACATCGAAGCATTGTCTTCTACTATTGCAAAGCCTTTTCTTTTACTCGTACCAACTTCCGATTGGATTTTTCTCAAAAAGGGATCGTTGTCTTGAGAATCCTTGATTCGATCCCTAAGAGTGGTTTGAATCTTTAATGCTGCAATCTTTGTAGTAATCTGAGCTGGCGGAATGATAACTTCCAGCTTCAATTTATCAAACTCCTTTATCAACTGCAGCTGAGATGTGGGTAAAACTGCTAATAGTCCCACTGTCTTCCTACTAAGAGCATCCGCGACTACATTAGCTTTACCCGGATGGTAATAGACAATCATAATCCTTAACTAACTCCAACCACCTTCGCTAACTCATATTCAAATCCTTTTGAGTGACGAAATATTTCAAACTTTTATGATCCGTATAAATATCGTACCTTCTCCCATATAGGTAGTGACGCCATATTTTTAGGGCATGTACTACCGTCGCCAATTCGAGATCATGTGTAGGGTAATTTTGTTCATGTTGTTTCAGTTTTCTTGAGGCATATGCGATCACCTTTCCATGCTGTATCAGTACACATTTCAATCCCTGTTTGGATGCATCGCTGTATATAACGAACCCATCTGAACCCTCTGGTATAGTTAAAACTGGAGCTATAACCAATTTCTATTTCAGTTCTTAGAAGCTCTCCTCACACTTCTCAATCGATTGAAATTTTACACCCTTTCTAGTTAGTTGGGCCATTGGCCCGGCTAGTTTAGAAAATCATTTGATGAATCTTCGAAAAATAACCGACTAGTCCCAAGAAACTACGAACTTCATCTACATTTGTTGGTCTAGGCCAATTGGTTACTACTTCAATTTTAGTAGGATCTACTTCTATCCCTTGTGTTGTAACCACATGACCAAGGAAAACTATACGTTCAAGCCAAAATTCACATTTCTTGAATTTGACATACAATTTCTCCCTCCGTAGTGTCACCAACACTATCTTGAGTTGTTCTTCATGATGTTCCTTATTCCTTGAATACACCAAAATGTCATCGATGAATACAATGACAAATTGACCTAAATACTGATGGAATACTCTATTCATCAAATCCATAAATACTGCAGGAGCATTTGTTAATCCAAATGGCATTACGGTGAACTCGTACTGACCATAGAAAGTTCTAAATGCTGTCTTTGAAATGTCATCTGCCTTCAACTTCAATTTGATGATAACTTGGCCTCAAATTAATCTTGGAAAATACTGTTGCGCCTTTTAACTGATTAAAGAGGTCTTAAATTCGAGGAAGGGGATATTTGTTCTTGATCGTCAATCGGTTCAATTCCCTATAATCAATGCACAATCTTATCGATCCATCTTTTTTCTTTACAGACAAAACTGGTGCACCCCAAGGAGATGTACTTAGTCAGATGTAACCTTTATCCAACAATTCCTGTAAATGTATCTTTAATTCTTGAAGTTCTTTTGGTGCCATCCTGTATGGAGCTTTAGTTACTGGAGATGCTCCGGGTACGAGGTCAATTGTAAACTCTAATTGTCTATCAGGTGGTACGCTAGGTAAGTCATCAGGGAATACATCAATGAAATCTCGTACAATTGGCACATTACCAATAGTAAGTTCTGAATGCTGAGTTCCATGTATACTCACCAGAAATCCCTGGCAAGATCTTTTCTTTAACATCTTTTCTGCCTTCATGACTAATACAAGTCTAGGTAAAGATTTAACTCGTACAGTACAAAATCGAAACTTTTCCTCCCCAAGCTTTTGAAAAATTACTTCTTTTTCAAAACATCGAATGGTTGCATGGTTGCTTCCCGACCAATCCATTCCTAGAATGACGTCGAAGTCTTTCATGTCTAGGAGGTATAAATCAGCCTTTAATTCTTTTCCATTCATTTCTAACTTCACTGCCTTAGCGATCTGATTAGTGTTCATAATTCTACCTGATGGGATGGAAATTTCTAGAAGACTATCGATTTTCTCATATGCAACACATGATTTAGCAATAAAAGTGGTAGAAACAAATGAATGAGTAGCTTCTGAGTTTATAAGAACATATGCAGGTAGTTCAAATATTAATAGAATACCTGCCATTACGTTCGAATCCTCTTTTGCTTCTTCCTGAGTTAAAGTAAAAACTTTGGCTCTCACTTTCTTCCCTTGCTCAAGATCTTTTTTAGGTGGGTATGCCTTGCAATTCGGGGCAAAATGTCCTTCTTGGCCATATCGATAGCACACATTTTTCCCAAATAGGCACTCTCCTCTATGCACCTTCTCGCATTTAGGGCATTGAGGAATAACTTTATTTGGTTTTTTGGATCCTAATCCTGATCCTTATTGGCTTTCTTAAATTGTCCAAATCCTTTCCCTTTATTTGGTCCATTCCACTTTCATTTACCATAAAATTCATCACTTTTCTCAGTCATCCAATCCATTTCGAGACGATCAGAAATTGAATGAGCTCGCCAAAGCACTTCACTATAAGTAGTTGTACGGTGAGATGCTATGATTCCTTCAAGTGTATTATTTTATTACCCTCAAACAAACACTCGCAATTTCAAGAAAATTTTGTATCACAATTGGTACAGTAACTAATCCTTTGATCCAGATAGTGTGTTAGCCTCTATAAATCTTAAAAATAAATAAATAAATAAATAATCGTTCTTAACTCCTCGTTGCAAGCCTTTGATTAAAAAATTTATTTTTCATACTTATTTTCAACCACACATTCACACAATAAACTATTCTATATGTAAACCCAAATTTTTTTCCTACTTTTTACCCCTACATTCTCCCAATAAAATAAAATAAATAAATAAATAAAAAATAAAATAAATAAAAAAATTCAAAACAAATTAAAGGCCACCAGACAAGGGTTTAATCTAAATACAAGTTAATTTATATGTGTGTACTTATCTACTTAAGTATATAACTCATATTATCACAATAAAATCGATGATCCTTAATCACTTACTCAAAAATACAATGAATAATTAACTCTCAATAAATAAACATCTATTTACTAATAAACATCAAACCAAAATGTTATGAATTATAGTTATGTCCTTACATTCTTGGGGTGCCTTCTCTTGGAAATGACCCAACTATATTTGAACTTTATAAGGGTCTACATGAAAAACTAGTTCAAGATGACTAAAATTAATTAAAATCAAGTTTAATCAAACAATAAAAAGAATATGAAATAAACTAAATAACAAAAATAGCACCAAAACTTTGAAAGAAATTGTCGAGTCGTAAACGAACCCAAATGGCTGAAGCCCATCGTATGTCATAGTGAAATAGTGGGTTCTACTCCTATCATTGTTCTCTTTTCAAAATGATATTATGAACCCAAATCGAAATCCAGATGCTCTAGTTGCGCTATTAACTTTTTCCAATTTTGATCCAATTCCTCTTCAATTCATTCAACAATATGTTCTATATCACAAAGGTATTGCTCACGGATGCATAGTGCAGGTCTCATACGCCATTGGTATGCCTAAGCCATTGTCGGTGTTTGTTGGTGGCATTGGGAGTATCCTAGACAAGGACATCATGAAAATTTTGTCTCGGATGATTTCCATTAACTTAGACTTTAAGAAGGATGGCAACGAAAGGTATTTTAATACCACTGTATATGGCCACTTCGAAAGGGATGACTCTGAGTAAACATGGAAGGTAACTTAGCCCCCTAAATGGGAGAAGCCCCAAAACTTTTTATTTTATAGAGTCTTTACAATGTGTTCTATAATGTGGTTGTTCCTGTTAGATGATCTGCAGCGAACTCGTATTTTTCGTGTGCTTTGCCCAATTTTTTTCTTTTTTTTACTATTTTTAACCTCTAGCTTGTCTTAGGCCTGACTTGTGAAGAAATATGGATGCCAGTGTGTGTCTTAAAATTTCTCCACAGTTGATGTTTCTATGAAGTTGAAGACTATATTACACAAGTCTTTTTAGGGCTTAGTAATGAATCCAATTGATCAACACCATAAGAAAATCGACCCAAAACTTTCAATATCTCCCTACTTCGATTGTTTTTTGTCTTGCCCACAAAGAGCATAGAATGGAGGTGTGTTTTAAGCCACACAGGTAGCCACAAAGGCAAAAATGGAAAAAGAAAATGGGATGCTCAAATCACAGAGAAGGCAGCTGTTTTATTCTTTCAAGAGGAAGAGGCAATTAACGCATGATCATTGCAAAGGTAAAGGAAATGTAGCATATATAAAAGAAAACCATTAGGATACAGTAATGGGCTAAGCCCCATATGAATAAGTAGGTTAGACATAGCACTAAGAAAGCCATCACCTCTAAGCCGTCCAAGAAGTAGGAAAATGGGCCATGAGCAGTACTAATTAAATTAGGCTGCTTTCAATTTCGCAAATAGTTTTAAGATCGAGTCATTTCATTGAGGTGTTGACTTCTGGTTATATCATTTGGTCGATATCGATTGAAAAAAATTATACCGAGTTACATCATCATCGGAGAGGTCGTTTAACAACAATTTGTCCAGCAAACCTCCACCTTAGTATCAAATGATCTACAAGGAAAAATTTTCACTTGTTAATAACAATTCCAAAAATGAGAACCGATAAAATTGGAAATTATTTAACTCCACCGATGTTTAGAATGTACTTGCATCTTCTAAATCTCAGTCTTGACAGTACCTTAGTGTCCATGTCTGAAGGATTATATTGTGTATGTATTTTTTAAAGTCTTACAACTTTTTGTGATACAAAAGCTATAATAAAGTGTAGTCTAACATCAATGTGCTTGATACATTCATGAAAAACAAAATTTTTGCATAGAGGGACTATCTGAACATACTACTACATAGTTATTTAAAATACAAAATTAATGAAGCAAACCTCTAAGCACACAAAGCCTTTTTAATTACTTTGATTGTAGCAATATATTCTGATTTTGTCATGAATAGTGCAATTATGTGTTGTAATTGTGATTTCCTACTAATACAAGATTTAGACAAAGTAAGCACATAAGAAGAAGTTGATTTTCTACTATCCTTATCTCCCGTATAATCTGCATCTACAACGCCTTTCAGTTTTACACCCTCTTTGTTAACACCAAACTTTAGACCTGCATCACATGTTCCATTTAAAGACCTTAGCATCAACTTTAGGGCTTTCCAATGTATAAAGGAATTGACAGTTAGATTTAATTCAGCAAGATAAGAAACAGAACTTGTAATCATATACACTTCATTATCATCAACATTGGAAGCTGAAGACAACAAATTTACTTCATCTCTCTCTTTACCATTTAACTTACGCATCTCTTTATGGATGTCTTTTATAAAAAAAAATGTCCTGTGTTCCCATCGCCAAATGATTTCTTAACCTTGGTTCTAAATTTTGATCTAGACCTACCATTACTTTTCTTTTAACCACAATTACTACTTGACTCCCCATAACTATGGAATCCATCATAACTACTTTGCCTAAACTGAGTTCTACCCCTCACTAAGTGAATCTCACCACCCTTCTTATCATGTTTTCAACTTTATCCTACATTTCGTTACTTTTAAGCGAGCCAATGATAATTTTAGGCTCCAAGCTGTCCGTATTGTACTTAATCGCATTCTTAACTTCCTTATAAGTGTCAAGTATAGAATTAAGCAAAATTATATGCTTGTAGGTTTTAGACATTAACTTTTCATTGTTAACAGTATCTTGTACAAGTTTATTAAACACATCTAAATTGTCATCAAGATCTTTTGAATGATCCATTTTAAAGTGATTCAAGTAATTAAACCATGTTTGGAGTAGATTTAAGCAAATACAAGTCTTCCAATTTTTTTGTGATTTTCAATTTACCCACTTTTCTCAAAACAACGTCAAATAAGTTTAAAATGATTGAAGTGTAAGCAAGATTATTAGTTTCTTCTTTTTGTTTTGAAAAACCAATAGAAAAATTATTTTCAATGACCTTTGAAACTTTTTGTTAGACCATAATACCTCTCATCTTTTGTTGCCATATTAAAAAATCACATTTTGTGTTAAAAATTTTCAAATCAAAATTGTAAGTTGTCATTTTTATAAATCAATAAAAAAATGCACAGAATCATAATCAAACCATACAAAGTAGTCCTAGGGTCGCAGAAAATATATACCGTTTTATATTCATAGGGTTTCGTAAGATTCGCGATCTTAGATTAAGGAAATATTCAAACGGGAAGGTCTAGGTATTCTAATGTAATTAACGGTATAACAAAGAGATATGTCAACCAAAACAATTTCATACACAATATATCACAAAGATAATAAATTCATTTTATCAAAATAAATACTTCAATCACGATAGAGTAAGTAATTCTTAATTTCTAGCAAAAGCAATGGTCACCTCACATGGTAACTCCAATCCTATTGTTACCCCATAAGGTAACACGCTAGTGATGAAATTTAACCCGGATAAGTCAATTTATTAGAGAGAACCACGTCTGAAGATCCATAAAATTGAGAGATGCAAATCTGCTACTTTAGGGGTGATAGAGTGTATTTTTCGCTCATACTTTAAACACCATCTAAACTTGATATTTTGCTTATTTTTATAAATTTTAGAACGTTTTAATGTATGTTTTGATATTGTGATATAAGTTGATGAAATTTAATGAAATAAGCAAAAGTTGGGATATGGGAAAAAAGGGCTAAATTTAAGGCATCCAAAGTTTGAGGACTAAAGTGTAAATACTCAAAAATTGTGTTGAACCTCAAAATGAAGATTCAAGAGTGCTAGGAGTCAATTGGAAAAAGAAAAAAGGTCAAAGGGATGAAATATAGTCAAAATATGATCACACATTAATTTTGAACCGAAAAAGTTATGCTCCGAATTGTTAGTCTTATATTGATACCCATTTTGACATAGCCAACTTTCAAATTTGAAAATGATATCTAAAGTAAGTTGTAGCTCTTTGGGTTGTCTTTTCAATGGATCTTAGAACTCCTTAATTGAATATCATGAGAAAAAAGTTATGAATAAAATACTAAAACACGTGCAGTGCTGTTTTTCCACCCGAAGTTGGCACAACACCACTAATGCTAAAAATCAACAGCATCATGGTGTTGTCGTTGGGCTAGAAAAAATGAGTTTTGAATTTTTTGGATTCTTTTCTTGGCCCAATCCAATTTTAACTATTCTAGGACTTTAAAATACTATAAATACAAACTGAAATACCATAGTTCAAGGGACAATTCAATCAGGCAAGAAGCAAGAAATCATTGGGAAATCAAGAACAATATCACAAAGGAGATTGAAAATCTACCAAAACTAATTTTTTTATTCTCTTCTCCGTGTTGTTTATTTGATTTTGATTATTTTTATAGCTTATGTCATGAACTAAACATCCAATCTAAGGTTTGATGTAACCAAAACTTGAGGATATGATTTGATTTGATTTTAGTTATTTTTACGAAATTTTGCTTTATGTTTATTTATGTTATTGATTTTAATGCTTTTAATTAATTGGCCACTAATTGAATGAGTGTATGCTAGTCAATTTCAATGCTCGAGTGAGGAAAATTTAGGTACAATCATAAAATTAACACAACTTAGAATTTATGAGTTCTGTGAGAAAGTGTGAATTCTTTGAAGCATGTTTCATATAAGAACCACAATCTTAATAAATCTTAATTTTAATTCGGAATAGAGATATTGGAATTAATTTCTAGGAATAATTTTTACCCTGCACTCAAGAGAAGGGGTATAACATTAGAGTTCTTACTTTTAAACATGAAAAATTGATTATAGATAACTAGGTTTTTGAAAATCATATTCGATAGTAAAGTGATATCATAACCATAGGGTTTCTCATCTTGTTTATTCTTCTAACTTGTATATTATTTGTTGAATTCATCACCATATTTATCATTAAATTAGTTAAAAATTGTTGATCTTATAATTTGATTTTCTAGATAAAATAAGAGCTAATCTGTTATAGTACTTATATAAAATTAAATTACAATCCATACTGGTTCGACACTCTAACTTCATTATTATATTACAAAGCTCCATACTGTACACTTGCAATATAAATTACATTATAGAAAATGCGTTGTAAGTTTTTGGCACCATTGCTAGGGATTGTTTTATTTGATTTTTACTAATATTATCAATAATTAGTTTTTGTTTTAATTTAGATTTCTTTACTTTTAAATAGTTTGCTTGTTCATTGCTTTAGGTTTATGCGAAGATTGAGGAGACGGTCCTGAACCAGAGATTTTTATAAAGTATCAGAAGAAATGAACTTAAAGCAATGGTGAAATAAATAGAACAAATAGCATATCAAAACAATCAACAGCAGGCTATAAGAGACTATGTAAGGCCAGTTGTCAATGACAATTACTCCGGTATTGTACACCAAACTGTGGCTACAAAAAACTTCGAAATTGTGGTGAGGATTGATACACATGGTGTAGCAAAATTAGTTTGGGGAGTTCTCCAACAGATGATCCAAATGCTCATCTTGGTTATTTTCTTGAGATCTTTGATATCGTAAAGATGGACGGCGTTACTAAAGATGCCATTAGACCCCATCTATTTTCTTTCTCCTTAAAGGATAAAGCTAAAGCATGGTTCTGATCATTATTATATGGATCCATCATAACTTGGGAGGAATTAGCTCAAAAATTTATAACCAAATTCTTTCTTCCTTCCAA